CTCGTCCAAGTTTGGCCTCCAATCATTTTTTGAAGTACGAGAAATTGGCTTTCCCATTTAAAAGAAATCAAATTTTGTCTGTGTCTCTAAACAAAAATCCAGAGGTGGGACAAATGTATGTTTCACCGTTGAAATGTGCATTGATGACATATTGGGGTGCAGAGGCCATTGCGTATGGTTGTTTGAAGGTTGGAAGGTTGGAAGGTTTGAAGTTTATGAGTTATTCGAAGGTTTGTATGTTTGATTATTTGAAGGTTTAAAGGTTTGATTGTATGAAGGTTTGAAGGTTGGAAGGTTTGACAGATTAAGTGAATCAGTGTTTTGATAAATATAAGACTAAATAGGTCATACTAAATTTGAATTAAGTAAGGCTGTAACCTCCAAGGCTGCCACCTAGCCTGCGCCTACTCTGCACCTACACTGTAACATGTAAGTCTCCTCCCATCACCTCCAATAGTGTAACATGCAATCAGGAATGGCTTCTCCAAGGCTGTGACCTAGCCTGCTCCTACTCTGCAACCCATGCCACCTCTTATTCGCCAATGGGGATGGCGACACCTTTCATTTTTGTACTCTTTCACCAAGTCCAATGGCGCCTCCCTTAATGTCCAATCGTGTTACATGCATGCAGAGATGCCTTCTCCAAGGCTGTCACCTAGCCTGCGCCTACTCTGCACCTACACTGTAACATGTAAGTCTCCTCCCATCACCTCCAATAGTGTTATATGCAATAAGGCATGGCTTCTCCAAGGCTGTCGCCTAGCATGCGCCTACTCTGCAACCCATGCCACCTCTTATTCGCCAATGGGGATGGCGACACCTTTCATTTTTGTACTCTTTCGCCAAGTCCAATGGCGCCTCCCTTAATGTCCAATCGTGTTACATGCATGCAGAGATGCCTTCTCCATGGCTGCCACCTAGCCTGCGCCTTCACTGCAAGAGTGACACTTATCATGCATGCATGCACCAGCTACCACCTTACTTACTCTATGAATTTTTTTTGCCTATAAATACAGAGCATAACATACTTCTCTCACACCCACAATCGTTTCACTCTCTTCTACAAAGTCTTTCATAATCTCTTACAATTTCTAAGTCTTTCATAATCTCAGGCATTTTGAACAATGGCTCTTCTCACAATGGCGGATTCTCGCAGAGGCACAAGGGACAATATTGCAGCATTTGTAAGTTTCTTTTATAGTTATACATTTTTTATACTTCTGGTAATGCTTTGTTCATCTTACTTAATCTTACACCTTTACATTATTAACTCAGAATACCAAAAGATTCAGAATCCGATCTCACAACTACCTGGCTCCCGATCCATTTATCGTACCATATCTGGAATACGCAGGTTTCGAACATGTTATAAAGATCTCCAATTGAACAATTGATTCAAAGTTCATACTTGCAATATTGGAAAGGTGGAGACCAGAGACTCATACATTTCACCTACCAATAGGTGAATGTACCGTCACTCTAGAGGATGTGTACATGTTACTGGGTCTTCCTGTCGACGGTAAGGCCGTTAACGGGTCGGTTCAACAACCCAATTCTCTATGTGAAGAATTGTTGGGCAGGGATATGGTTGAAGGTGGTGGTGTGAGAGGTCAGGGTATACTACTAACTGAGCTTAAAAATCATTATGCAACTTTGGAATTAAACGAAAATTCCTTCGAGCAAGACAGGGTAATAAAAGCTAGAACTTATCTAATGATACTATTTGGAACCTTTTTATTTCTCAAAAGTACGGGAAATAGTGTAAATTTTATGTATTTAAATTTACTTAGAGATTTCGAAAAAACTAGATAGTATAGTTGGGGTTCTGGTGTTTTAGCCCACCTATACAGTTCCTTGTGCAAAAATGCAATCAAGGAAAAATATATATATTATGGCTGCGCTTTTTTACTTCAAGCCTGGGGTTAGTGGAGGATGGAGTCCCTAAACCCCGTAAACAACAACACATTCGTTTTCCCGTACACAACAAAGTAAGTCATCTAGTTATATCATTTATTACTGTTCATCTCTTCACCAAATATATGCTAAAAATAAAATTTTTTTCATTTCCTTTATGTATTGCGTGGGGGGTATGGATTACGGAAAGAATCCAAGATTCAATATCGCACTATACCGCAATCTATTGGATCACCTAGGACCGGATGATGTACTTCGTACCTTTCAACTTTTCTACTTTTAAATTATTTATGTATTACGTTTTCATTAACCTGATTTAATTTTATGCGCAGTTTGTCTGGAGACCATATTTGGGTTTGGGCCATGAACCAAATCCCGAGGATGCAGCAATTTGGAGCGCCAAGACTGCAATCATACGGTTCAATGTTGTGGAGATGCACCACATCGACCGTGTGAAGATGCAGTTCGGAATGCATCAAGAGATACCCAGTGATCTGACTTGTTTGTCCCCGTGGCATCTCAAAAGGGTCGACGCCCAACGGGGTCTTACCAACTGGAAAGACTTTGCTCCAGAATGGTGTAAGATGTGGCAGAGGCGTCACCGACATGTCTTAGAATTCCCAGTTTTTCTCAATCATGGTAATATGCGACACACGAATCAATATTTATCTTGGTACATGTCAGTTAGTAACCCTGAAATGCACATGTCTCATCCAAGGTATTTGGTTGACCCACGAACACAATGGGCACAACCCTCGTTTCCCCAACAACAAACCCAACACACATCAACCTCCCACCAACCCCCCAGACGAAACAGAACCACAAACACCCAACCACAGTCGCCACCACAATACAATTACACTCAAATACCCCACAACCGACCATAATCATCACCTCAGTACCAATACCCCCATATGCCTCACTCCCAACCGCAATTCCAATCACAATACCAACACACCCGCATACCCCACACACAATTTCAGTCTTCTGTATATCCCAATATGGGCCCCTCAACATCCAGCCTTAGTCCTGATCTAGGAATGTCGGAAGATTATGAACCAACCAACCCAACTTACCATAAACCACAGTATCACCAAACCACCCAACATCCTCAATACCAAACACCCCAAGATCCATTTCCTTTCTACCCCCCGTACTCAGATGATCAATGCTACAGACCCACCATGGAACCCCACCCACCGCCAACACGACCAAACTTTGAGGATATGGGTAACCGAATGTACCAAAGCGGATCTTCTAAATATGGAGATTTGACTGATTTCATGGATCTTGAACGCATTGACTTCGCTGGGCCATCGACCCTGCCACAGCAGGAAACGCACGACACCTAGCACGGGAAAGGCGAGGACGGGGATGTGGAACCGGGGGTCATTACCGGGTTCCGGGAGACCACTAATTTATCTGTTTTTTTTAATCTGTATTTTTTTAATCTGTATTTTTTTAATGTAATACTTATGGGTGTAATCATTTTTTGTAAATAAAAAGTCAATTTTGTTGATCCTATATCGAATACGCAACGCACCGGATTGAAAAAAAAACGCGAAAATTGTCCTAGAAATGCACTAAGGCGCCATCTCACTTGGCTTAGGGCAAGCCCTAAGCACCTAGGCGCCAAGTGAGATGGCGCCTCTCCTTAAATAATAGGTGTAGGCGCCAAGTGAGATGACTCCTCCTTTGGAGAGTCATCTGAAACATGGTTATTTGCGAAAAAAAATTTTCATACCTGATTATTGCAAAAAAAAATTCTATAATCTATTTAAGTTCAGGTCAGATTAATTTTTTCTTAAATAGAAAATATCCATATATATATATATTTTTATAAGTTTATAATTAAAAAAACTAGATTCATATGTCATTAGAAGAATATTTTAAATTTATCAGATTGATCTATTTAAATAAATAAGAATAAATTATATTATTATTATTATATTTTATTAATATATTGAAATAAAATATAAAAATAAAACTTAATTATCTTGAAAAAATATTAAGATAAGTTGGAAAAAAGTTTATAAACAATATTATAATTTGTTTTTATAAATTCTCTTAAAAAAATATTATCACAAAATTTATGTTAATATATAAATTTAAATAAATAAATATAAAAATTATTTAATCTCTTTGATGTTTTAATTTGTTAGTATATTTAAATATTAGTTGAACTGTTTATTTATAATAATTAAATAAAATAATTTTTTATATAGATTAATAGACTAAATATACTTTCAAATATATCAAACTTATAAGTCTATAATAAACTATAAATCAGACAGAGATTTTATAATTTTTAAGATACAGAGATTTTATAATTTTTAAGATTCAAATTTATGTCTAAGTGTGTTCAATCTATTCTCATCTCTACCCATAGTATCTACTTATCACTTTATTACCTTTTTATTATTCATTAGATCTCTTTAGGGACATTATATCTCTTTAGGGGCCAATGTCTATGATGACTCATTCTATACCTTTTTTATTCGTAGTATTGAGTTAAACACCTTAGTTAGATATTTAGAGAGAGTCGTGTCTTAGGTACTATTCTCTCTGTGTTAATATATAAAAGTAAAATATATATTTTATTAATAAAATCAAACCATAATTATCTAAACTAAAACTTCTTTATATTTTCTTATAAAAGAATTTAATAAGATGTAAAAATAATGTTAATTGTTACTATTTATTATGAAATTAAAAAGAATAAATTTAATGCAGTTTGCAATTATAATTTCATCTTAAAAAATATATATTTTATTTTATTTTGATAAACATTAAACCCTTTTAATAGACTTTGATTACTATTTATTTTAAAATTTTAATATTAATAGTTATTTTTAAGGAGAATAAAATCAAAATATAAAATTGAAAAGACTTCAAACATCACTAAAAAAAAGTTGAAGTAACATTGAGAAACAAAGCATACAAATATAAAATTCCTCTCTAGCTCCATCACTAACTCTCATAAACACTTAAATTGAATTTTTTTTTTCATCCTTAAATTGAAATTGAGAGAAGAAATCAAGTTAGTAATAATAATACTATGAAACATATTGATGACTTTTCTTTAGTCAATTACTATGATATCCTCCTCCTCCTCCCAACATGTCATTCCAAAATCCACTTGTATAACCTTGTTGATCTCCTTTATTATCATTATTCTGATCCAAACCCAATGTTGTGTTATTATTGCTAGAAACTTGTTTTAAATCCTCAAAAGGAAACAAAACCCTTCCTTCATTACCATAACTATTTCCACCAATCTCATCTAAGCAGAAATTCATTGGCACATGCTTAAAATCTTGCAAAGGAAACCCAATATTACTAGTGTTGGAATCACCTTGATGCTGAACAGGCATAAAAGAATGAAACCCCCTTGAGCTTCAAGTGGTTATCCCAGTGAGAAGCTCCAATACTGAGAAACTAGGAGAAGAAGCAGAAGTGAAATCCAAGTTTAGATCTTGTCTTTCTTCATGATGGATCTTATTATGGTTTTGATTTTGTGAGCTAGTAACAAGAATACTAGGTAGGTTTTTTGTTGCATTTGAAACACGATTAGAAGAAGATCTAATGACTTTGTTGTTTTTTCTTGTTCCACCTCCAACAGGAATGTTTCTAATGGATCCACCTTGAGTCCAGTACCTTCTACATGTTTTGCAGAAATATCTTGGTTGTGTTAAGCTATAGTTGTTGTAGTAACAAAATTTTGTGTTAATTGAATTGCACCTTGGACAATTAACAGCTTGTTGTTTTTCTGGCCTTGGTTTCTTTTCACTTGTGTTTGTTGATAATGACTTCACCATAATCTCCTTCAATAAAAAAAATTTTAAAAAAAAATATATTTCATGTCATGTATGAAAAGAAGAGACTAAGAATTGTTTAAGGTCTTTAGGGAAAAGCAAAAGAAAAAGTAAGAAAGTGAGAGACATGTGTTAAGGAAAAAAATATATGGAAAATTTTGAGACTTCATAAGGAAAGTGCATGGATTGATTAATTTTTTACCTGAGGCCATTGAGTTGTGTCCATGGATTGATGATGATCAAAGGATAATGAAGATGATACTCAAAATAAGTTGAGAGAGATGATGAGAGTTGAAAGTTTGTGTAGAAAAAGGGAATGTTTTTGAGAGGAATTGTGAGTGGGGTGGTATACTATGTGAATGGTTGGATTACTTTACTTTTTCCAACTTTATAATCAATCAATTTACTTAATAAAGAAGCCAACATGCATGGTGGATTTATTACTTCAAATTATTTTTATAAATGCTTCATCTTCTCACCTACGACACATACATATGTTTTCTTGTATTGTGAATATCAAGATCTTAAAAAAAAATAGAAAATGTTTCAAAATGCAAACGAATGCATGGAGGGGTAGGAAAAAAAGGAGAATTATCCTATTATTAAAAAAACATTAAAATGATAATGAATATCTCTCTCTCTCTCTCTCTCTCTCTCTCTCTCTCTCTCTCTCTCTCTCTCTCTCTCTCCTCTCTCTCTCTCTCTCTCTCTCTCTCTCTCTCTCTCTCTCTCTCTCTCTCTCTCTCTCTCTCTCTCTCTCTCTCTCTCTCTCTCTCTCTCTCTCTCTCTCTAGTGTGTTTGTGTAAATAAAGGTTAGCAATGTCGAGCTGAAACAAGACTGTAGTGGTCTGCTGCAAGGAACACAAGCTAAGGAAGGAAGGTGGACTTAGAGAAAAGGGAAATTAATAAAGGAATTAGCTGGCTTCAAGGGAAAGTGTAGAAGGCAGAAGGAATTGGAGGAAATCTTTGTTGAGATGATATTATAAAACATTTGAATTCAGAAGATAAGACTTGATGGCGTTAGAAGACAAAATGATAGTACAAAGATACACTGAGTATTCTGTGTAGCGCCGCCTGTAGCCTGATGTGGACAGTCTACGATATTATACCTTGTCATCCACCAATGTCTCCTTGTACCCAGTTTCTTGTTAGATAAGCAAATGGAATGGAGTGATGGCGCTAATTTTTACATGGGCTTGATGTGATTTCCTTATATTTAGCCCATAATCAAATGCATCACCAAACCCTAGCTTAAGTCTATAAATAGGACCTTGTGACGATTGAAATAGGAGTTCAGCATTTCCAAGAGAAAATACATAAGATACTAAGCGTGAGAAAAGTGGAGAGTAGAAACAGTTTTCTTCTTCTCACCCAATCATGTATCAATTGTTGAGCTTAGCGCGAGTTGAGTCATCTCTTAAAGATTGTCTATCTCAATAAGTCTCCAAGTTACTCTTAAGTTTATATCTTTTTTTCATTATTTGTTTAGAGATGTTCCTTCTGAGAACCAAGCTTGTAGTTTGTACTCAGTTCATTATGAGCTAAACCTTTTACATTTGAGTAATGTGAAGTTAATATTAAGTTATTTCTATGTTATATGATGTGTGGTTTAGTGATATGTTTTATTATATGTTAATCTGTTGTAAGTCTATTTCTTTGAATGATCAACTTAGAAATATATAACAGTTTTTGTTGTGAGAGATCCAACAACAAGTGAATTTCTTAATAAAATAGTTGAACGAGTAGGATAAAGATATTAACTCACCTAGCTTCCTTAGAGATAAGGAGTTGTAAATATTGAGGATTTTAGAATACAAACAGACGTATGTTAGGGTTATAAGTGAGACTTAGAGATTTGCTCTCTTGCGTTTTTCTATACATGCTTTGGTGTTGTAGAAATACACCACAAGATAACTCCGACTTAACCAGTCACAACACTACACATCAATACACATGTTTACTTCTAAAATATTAATGAATCAAGGCTCAACTCATTCACTCTTGATATATTTCCACTCTTTCTCTTTGCATTTTTTTAGATTTGTTTAAGTGAAAACTGAACTTGTGACTATCATATATTATTTCTCTCTCTACTCATGCTTAAAACTCCAAAGTAGTCAATTGCAAAATAAACCTAAGTAACCATATTACTCCATGTGGGTTCGACACTCTTATCTTTATCACTTGTTGCACTCAAACATACATGTATACTTACATGTGACAACTAAAAGAAGTAAAAGGTTTTTGGTGTCATTGCCGGGGAGTGTTTTTGTTACATTTCTGATTTTGTATCATTTACTATTATTTTTTTGTTTTTAAGAATTTGAGCTTTTAACGTTTGTTGTAGTCTGGTGTCATAACATGTTTTTAGCTATTGCATGCAAAGGTCGTTATGCCCAGTCTTAAGTGGATATGCTTAACCAAAAAGAACTGTCAGGGTACTAAGAAGACATCAACTTAGTGGACATCCACCTGGGAACCCTACTCTTGTTAACTTGGAAGATTTATGGGACCCAGATATACTAGTGCAAGAAGAAGAAGAAGGGGAGGCAGACCCTGTCACGGCGGATAACGAAATTATTGGCATTCCCAATGATACTGAGCATAACATCAGAGAATATGCAGTCTTTGATCCTAATGCCATAAGTACTAGTATCATATTTCTAGAAATCACTATAGCTCAATTTGAATTCAAGCCAATGATGTTTCAGATGTTGAAAACCACTAACTTGTAATCAGGTTCTCCAAATGAAGACCCTTACTCTCACTTAAGAAAAATTCTTGGATGTTTCTAGTGTAGCGATATAAATGTTGAGACAAAGCCATTGGATTGACTTGACTCGTACAGGTCAAAATAAAAATCGCCACCGCGCTTTATCGTTTCCAAAGGAATGGTAAAAGAGCGAATAACCTAAAAAGAGGGGGAGAGAATCTAAGTTCGGGGGTTGGTTATGCAAAGGAAATGTATTAGCACCCTAAACATCTTCGGTACTCTGTATAAACCTCTTTGTAAATCTGTATATTTTGGCTATAAAATGTTGTATATAAAAATAAATTGTGGGGATGAGAAAAGAAATATATTTTTTACAATTTTTACACCCGCCGCGGTTGCGAACCTTTAGTGCCTACATACCACCTTCCGTGCAATAGGGGATCAGGGTACCCGTAGTTCACCTTTAAACATTTTAAAACACAAGTGTGTTGGTTAATTTTAAGAGACGAGACATCATCGTCTTATCCGAGTGGAAGAACATACTTGCTACCCATGATTATGAGAAAGGAGAATTTGCATCATCTCAAAGTGGAGGATATGGCTTGAATTTTAAAATCAACAAAGCCTCGCTCAACACCTAAGTGAAAAATATCTCACTTCACTACATATCATAGAAGTATAATAGCTCGCATCGCTACAAGAGTTGACAAGAGTCTATCTTTTGAGAAAATTTTAAAGTAAAAGAGCCAAAGTGGCAAAATGGTTTGAATGAGATTGATTGACTTTTAGTCTTCTCACAACAAAAATGTCAAGGTATTATTAAGTTGATTAAAGTTTGATTAAGAAAATATTTTTGAAAAGGGCATGGACCTAAGTCCAAGTTTATTATGAAAGTGGTTCAAGTTTTGAAACAAGAATAGTTTTTAAAAGGAGGGAGAATATTTTTGAAATTAAAGAAGATAGGAGGAGATGAAGGGACTATCCTAAAGCATAAAGGTAAAAGCTACATAAAAGAATCATCTAACCAACAAGAAGCTAACACTTGACATAATGAGTCAATGTAGAATTATCATACTTTGGATTTGAAACCAAACAAGCAAAGATAATAAACCTCTTAGGAAAACCAAGCTTCAATTGCATTAAGTCTTCATAAACGTTAGGCAGAGTAACAACTGTATACAGATGAATTCCCGATCACAGACAAAGTATGTAATCACAATAACCTGCACACAAAGCAAACAAACAAACAATCTAATATCTTGGGGTAAACCCCAAGAACTCCAGACAAAATAACAGTTGAGGTCACAAGGTCTCAAAGTAGGTCATAGCTTCTAATCCTAAGTCTAAGAAGTCCACAATCTCCATAATGTCAAGGATAGTAACCAAGTAGTCCAAGTAACATTAAAGTTTTTTATGGTTCAAGTTTATTATTAGGTATCTTCAAAAAGAAAATGAAAAGCTCAAGTGAGCAAAATAAAAATGACATAAAAGTAAATGCTCAAATGAGCAAAGATGAAAATAGCATGAAATGTAAATGCTAAAATAAATGTGCTTAAAGTAAAGAGCATAAAATAAAGTCTCAAAATAAAGTCAATTGTTAGGAATTAGAGGTTAGTTGAATGATCATCTTGAAACTTGCATTTGAAACTCATTAGAAGATTGATAAAATCAAAGCCTCTCAACAACAAGTTTCATTATCTTTTTGTCAAGTATATTATCCATTTAAAGATTCTCAAGGCAACAATAAATTATTGACGATGTTTAAGTGATCCAATTTGACCAAAGTTGATAAAAATTCATTAGAGGATTGGTAGGACCAAAGCCTCCTAACAATGAATCTCAAGGTTATTGGATCAAAGGGTTAAAATTAACATACTTGGGCTTACAAACATGAGTTTGGTCCACGAATGATCATTTTCTCAAATCGGAACAAAATTTAGCACTATGTTAAGCAATCGTAAGTGGACTTATATAGAAGTCGCACCTATTTTGAGGCTGGTCAATAGCAATCTATGTACCATATGTTTTGAGAAATGATATGGAAATCATTCTCCAATAACATTTAGTATAATAAGAAGGGGGTAAGATGAAGAGGGATGAGGTAAGATTTAAACCACATTTGAACCAAAAATTTAATCAAACTATTATTAAAATCATTCATCCATTTTTTTTGGAGTCAAACTCAACACCATGGATCCAATGATGTTAATAAAGCTTATGATCAAAATTTCATAGTCCAAGATCAGCCAGAATATAATACAAAATAAAATGGTATTTTAAAATAAAGAGAAAGATTTTAAAAATGATTTTTAAATGAAAATAAAGGGGGAAGATAGCAATTATATTCTAAACATCCAAGAAAAATCAACTAAGACCATAAAATAAAATAAAAAATGAGCTCAAATATTTATACAAATTTTTTGGTAATTTTTTAAAGTCATAACCTATTTTTAAAATTAAAAGAAATAGGCAAACAAACCAAAAATTGTGAAAAATAGTAAAGTCAGAAATAA